CATTCATTCATTTATTCATTCATTTATTTGCTCATTCATTCATTCATTCACCAATTCATTAATCTTATTTCAGACCAGTGCATACATAAACACAATCTATTTCACTCACTCTTCCATCCATCCATCCCATCCCATCCCATCCCATCCCATCCCATCTCATTCTTTCATCTGCCTATCATGCCTAATATCTTTATAAATGCTTCTACTTTGTTTTTCTCTAGGATGCTGACGGTTCCTTGTCGAAGAAAACTGTAAGAGGGAGCATTCTCTCTAGAATCCTTGGAACCCTTCACAACCTAGCCAAGAGAGTTCCAACAAGAGGCAACTTCCATGCTTGCAATGCCGTCAAAGTTATTCTTCCCATGATAGATGACAAGGTTTCCATTTATGCTACCAAGGCATTGCTTCTCTTGGCATATTTGATAGACGAGCAGAATAACAATCTGATCATGGCAAACAAAGGTATGTAAATGGTTATGGCTAATGGGATACTTGCAGTCCCAAGGGTGGATCCAGGGGGGGCAAAGGGGGGCTGAGGCACCACTTCAGCAGAAAAACAAAACAAAACAAAACTGAAGAATAAGAGGTTTTCTTTTAATTGTTTTCCATTGTGTTGATGGAAGAAACTCAATTAGCCCCCCCCCCCCCCCCCCCACACAAACTCAATTAGCCCTCCCTTAAAATTTTGGCTGGATTTGCCCTTGAGTCCAGGTGATCTAGTAGGAATTGCGAGTATCCCATCTAGACACAACCTATATAAATACTATGTAGTAGTGTAATGTCATACCAAAGGTAGCTCAAACTCTAATCATCATGATCATTGTGATCATTATTATTATCATTATTATTATCATCATCATCATCATCATAATTAAAAATCATTATCAACATCACTCACTCATCTAATCATTATAATAATCATTATCATTTGCATCATCATACTCAGCACTTTTCATTATTATTGCTAATGACTCATCATTATCTGTCTTCATCGATATCATCTGTCATCATTCTAGTCATCATCATATCTAATCATTATCACCTTTATTACCATCATCATCCATCATCAACATCCATCATCATCACCATCATCAACATCCATCATCATTACCATCATCATCATCCATCATCATCCCCATCATCATCCCCATCATCACTGACCATTCATAATTTTCACATCATCATCATCATCACCTTCACCTTCATTCTTATCGCCGTCTTCATCTCCATCATCAGTGTATCAATCAATAAATCAGAGTCATTATCAAATAACTAACATAATATTGTGGTTGTTTTTACTTATTAGAACCAATCAATTACCTCGTGACTCTGATTGACAAGGCTAACCAAAGATCTAACAGAAGATATTTGGGCTTTTCAAACAGTGAGCTTGCCGAAGGTCTTGCTCAAATAGCTATCAACGATGCCAATAAGAAGCAGGTATGCATATCGTTTTAAAGCTGATGTTACACTAGACGATTGGCAACGACGATTGTTCGTGCGACAATATTGCGAGAACGATTGTTCTCATTCAACATGGCGCGCAATTACGATTTTTAACACGGTATTTTGTTGCGGCACCATGTTGCATGGCAACAATGTCGTAACATTTGAAGGTCGTTCATAAACCTGCAACATGTTGCGGCAACAAAATAGAAATAAAAATTGCAACCGTGCGCCATGTTACACGAGGAAAATCGTGAATCGCTTCGTGTAACACGACCTTTACACGAAGCCGGCCAACTTTTTCACAGAACAATGTTGCGCTAAAAGCCATGTCGTGTTACATCACCTGTAACGCAACAATTAATGTTGTGATAAAAATAGTTGTGTAACTTGACAACATCACCTTAGGAAGAAAAAGATTACAGAAAAAGGCACATGGTTTTCAACAGCACATATCATGAAAATGCCTTGATTGACGTTAATCAAAACCTTAGGAAGAAAAAGATTACAGAAAAAGGCACATGGTTTTCAACAACACATATCATGAAAATGCCTTGATTGACGTTAATCAAAATCTACATCGTCGCGACGAAGATTCCGCTCGTGCTATTGATAGACACCGTAAAGCTAACGTATAACATGTTCATATAGATTGTAGCCAGTGGAGCAATACCTGTACTCACACGGTTGATTAGAGGAGCCAAATCAGAAGAAGAGGAAACAGCCGCCGCTGAGGCATTGTGGGTGCTTGCTTTTGATAACGAAAATAAAGAGAAGATGCAAAGCGACAAAGCGTGTATGGAGATGTTGTACAAACTGAAGGACAGTAGTAATGACAGGGTAAAGAAGGCAGCAAGCGGTGCATTGTGGGAAATAGAGGGGAAACAACAACACTCTTCTCATTTGGCTGATATAGGTAAATTTGATCAACCAATCATCATCATCAGGTTTTCCCTCTCGGCCCGTCCTTGGCCTTAGGGTACAACTGCTCCGGGAAACGTCCTCTGAGCAGATGTTTGAACTTGGTTTTAATAAAACTCTAAGCTCAGTTGCTTTTTAACGGTGTTCCAATAAGAAGAACGAAAGAAGCTACTTTGAGTCCCGGTCGTCAGTGACTCCGTTAGCTCGCCAAGTCCTCGTAAGACTAGGCTCCCCAGGCTGCACCTGTCCTAAAGACGGAGGTGGAATATGGCTTGAGTGTGACAGGCGTTTTGACTTAGCTGGACTTACAATACTGCCTTCTAATTCTAGCGGATAATATCCGATAATATCCAGATAATATCCGAGAGTTACACTTCAACACCCCCAATGCACGTACACCAATAGAAGGGTGGAATTCGATCTAGAGGGAACGGAATGGCTACCCACCCAACCCAGTAGTCACTGAACTTTTTTAGTAACCAACTTTCGAGATTTGGCTGACCATTGTATGGGACCTTGTGTCCTGTTGGTCAGTCCATCAACCAGTAGTGTGGCAGACTGTAGTATATTTTTGATTTTTTTGTGTTTATTTGTGCTATTGTAGTTTTGTGTTGTGTTAGACCCTTTGCATATGACGTCAAAGCAGCTCGATTTGTTGGGGAACAAAACAAAAGAATTCTAATCTGCTCCAGAGAATTGTAACCTATTATTTTGTTCCCCAGATTGAGCTACATTCCAAAGTACTGCAAGGGGTCTATAAGATCTGTGTATACGCTCACTTGGTTTTAAAGTAAATTATTATAAAAAATATACTTTGCTTGTCACGCTTCTCACGTTCCAGTACCAAGCTACGTGCTAAATTAAATGTCTTTTCTCCCGTCGGCACGAACCTGAAACAAAGAAATTATACTCTAGGGAATGTCACATGGTATAAAATTGGGAAAAAATAACTCTTAGCTAAAGAAGTAAATTTTCCAAAAGTTAAATGTTTCCTGATATTCAGCTGACGCTCTGCAAGATGACAAGCCAAGTGGTGCCACAGACGCTGCCACAACTAACCACGTGATGATCAGCTACCAGTGGGATGTACAGAAGACTTTGATTCAAGTTAAAGACCGGCTCCAAGCAGCTGGTTATAGAGTCTGGATGGATTTAGAGCAGATGGGTGGGTCTACACTTGAGGCCATGGCTAGAGCTGTAGAGAATTCTGCTGTAGTGTTGGTGTGTGTGTCGCAGAAATACAAGGAGAGCTCTAACTGCAGATCAGGTGAGGTTGTGTTCATCGCATTCCTCCATCCATCCATCCATCCATCCAT